AAATACAGTGAAAATTAGCCCCTCTTCCTTGAAAAAGGATCAACCACAGTGACTCTAAAGCATTTACCACTTAAAAACCTTTTAGCTGGGCCCATTTTGAATTATGACTACATGATTTTAAATTACACTTTTCTAATTCCTCACCACCGCCACCCCCAGCAGTCTCTGGCGCTTCATTTTCCAATTACGTACTTTTATTTCGGAATATGAAGAGTGCTACGTACTGGATCCTGTCCTGTCTGCCACAAATAGCTGCTCACTTATTCCTTTAATTTTAGCTATGAATGCAGTCGGCTCGCCGGGCTTGTCTTCAAATTCTGACTATCCTCCGTTCCCACTGCACGGAACGAGCCCGGAGACGCGAAGAAACCCACAAAGCTTGGGCAGAGAGACGTGTTTGTAAACCAGTGTTCCACTCCATAAATTATTATAATTCTCGGTGCTTTCTCTATCCACCTAGCAGATCAGCGATCATATAAATAATGGTGAGTGAACTGATTTTTCTTCTGCAAAAGTGCTACATCCTAGTTTTCAAAATAAAGCACTTGGAGAGTCACGTATCTATAGAGTTGGAATGGGAAGCTGTTCAGATCCGTTTCAAAGAGGCACACAGACATACCCACACACGTAAGGAGACTAGAGGTAGACGTGTTAAACTCGGCATTGTATTCCCCTTCCCACGTACAGCTCAAAATCACCCACAACGGGAATGCGCCGGACAGACACGGTCAGGGAGGGGAAGAGGCTAGAGGGCTGTGGTTGCTCAGCGTTCAAATACAATTTGCAAAGAAAGTAAACGTGGATTTACAGTTCTTGTGGAAATCTATTAAACAGATGTCACTGAAGCATAATCAAATCAGCACGATGGCAATTCTACACTTACGTCTGATATTGGGGTTTTGCCATTTTTGATGATCAGTTCGAGTGCATGTTTTGCGATCATGCGGGAATTTGCAATTAAGGATTAGACTTCCCAAGTATGATCAATTAACTAACGTGTCTGAATGATAAACTTACAAAAGCAAAACTCCATTCTCACCAGCCCTCCCCCACCACCACGGACGCGGGGCAGGGACCCCAGGGCAGAATAAGGGTTGGGGAGAGAACCTTTGCCTTTTCTGTGAATACCGGAACACTAAAAAGCGCTTTGTCAGGAAGGAGGGGAAGGCAGGGGGCAGGAAGGGGTTACATTTCTCAGGTAGCCAATGCGATATATTTTGCAGCCTTGAAGACTGCGGTACTGTCCGGAAAACGCAAAAGAATGAAATGAAGGGGAAACGGTGAGAGTGTCAGAAATTGGAAGCAGGCATCATTTTCTCCTTGAAGCGATGAAATTAGCATGGGCGATGCCAAAGTCTCTTCGTGTGCATCAGCGCTGAGCCCCACATCCTTCTTGGAAGGAGGAGACGGGAATCTGAAGGTGAGCAATAGGCAAGCTACGTTACAGAAACAAACTTTCAGGTGTAGACTGGGGTGGTGGGAAGAGGAACCTACTCATCCCTGGCTCTGAACTGGGTGCAGAACAGAGTCAACCAGAAGGGAGAAATTTTTTTTTCCCCTGCAGCTGCTTCTATGTATGAAGATGACCAGGTTTTGACATTAGGCTGGCCAAGCTCAGGTCCAAGAAAACCCCCCACAGAGGAATTCATGAAAAGACCTGAAAAGGCCAAGGGGCACTTCAAATCACAATTTGATTTCAAATTTAATACCTATCATCTCAACGTGCTAGGATTTGTTTCACGAAATTAAGCTGCCCCTGTTGGTCACAGACATTTTAAGTGGAAATAAAGCATAACTATGTCTTGTCTCATTAGGGGGAAGAGTCAAATAAAGTAAAACATTTGTGTTGGTAGCGGACCTGTGAGGTCACCAGGGAGAGCCATGGTGACTCAAATGAACTGAGAAGCAATTTATACCTTTCTTCCAATATCACCCCAAAAGGAGTCTCTTATTTTTTCCCCTTGGATTTTTGGGGGTTTCTTTTTCTTTTGATATTTTAGTTGTCTCTTCAAATCCAAGTCAGACAACTTCAGTGGGAGTCTGGAGGGGATGCTTGCTGGTGTGGTCTCGTGACACAGGGACATCCACACGGCAGAAACGAGGGCCTCGGGAATGGCTTTCAGAGTGCCCCAGGCTACACTCAACGGTTCTTGCCGTGGGAAACAATCCCTTCACACCCCTTCTCCCTGCCACCCACAAGTGTTGGGCACTTCTGGTCCTAGAGGGTGAGGCGCCCAGGCCAGAAGGAAGTCCCCTACCTCTTACCGGAGGTGCCACCAACTTTGATCTGTGGGTACAGAGTGAGTCTGAGAATCTATTCCCCGGCCTCCGCACCTGGGGAGCCCTTTGCCCAGGACCCTTGCTCCGGAGGGGCAGGCAGACAAAGGTACTTATTGCCTGAACGGAAAGATCTCAGGGAGAAAAAGAATGGAAAGGGAGAATTCGTGAAAAGATCCTTTTTTGTTCCCGGTGAGGGAGGGGCGGTGGGAGAGACCTGTCACACTGTCACATTAAAGACTTTGACAGACAATTCAGGGATAACGTGGAAATTCCACCCTTAACTGCGGCTCGATGCAACTTGAAAGGCATTAACTAACCTCCACTAATTGCATGTTTTTCTGTGCATAATATTTACTTGTTAAAAGTCTTTGCCTGGCTGATTAATTTCCTCTACCCCGGTATTCATGATCGGTTCACAGGCCTGAAATTGGGAAAACGAAGTCATTTTGATAGATTAAAAGATGACTGCACTTTCGGGAGGGTTTTCTTTTTTTTCCAGAAGTCCAGAACCTGCACGGAGAATGCTGATTTTTCTCCCTTCACGGAAACCCAGCGACCACCCTAATTCCTCAAACAAGTAGAGAGAGATGTGTCCTGGATAAAGTGAGTGCGCCCAGGCCCCCAGCGCCCAGGTGGGTTAGCAAGTTCAAAGAACAAATGAACTTAAACCCCGTTCGCTGGATGAAGATTTAAGAGTCTTGCGGGTGGCCTGGGCATGTATTGAAAGCAGGCTTTTCGTGAACGATGGTTCCTGCATCACTCTGTGTGTTCCTGACAGTTGGGGCTCGAGTAAAACACCCTAAAATTCTTACCGTTCACCTAGATCTAAACCTGTTCTATCTGTGCACAGGGACAGCCCACGGGGCATCAGCCGGGGTGGCTGTGAGTGGTTCTAAGTGTACCACCCTGTGGTTACATCAGAGGTACCTCCTTGACCATGTGAGTGACCCTCTGAACCCATCCACATCACCAATACGGTGCCCTCATTCAATCCAGGTCTTCCGAAATTCCTGGGGGCTGAGAAATAAACAGGAAGGCAGTCCCACGTTGAAACACTTCCCAGCACACGGTGAAGCCTCTGTGGCTGGATTATCGCCTTTGGACTAGCCATCAGCCAATTAATGTACCTCCAACGAGCAAGCCCTCGAATCGATGTAACCATTGCACCGAAATCCATCTCGAGAAAAACGTTTTACAAGTGTCGTGAGGCCGCCACTCGGAAAGCCAGTTTGCAGGGAGCCCAGCACGGTGAGGCACAGATTCTCGTGCAGGGCTCCCATGCAGTGGGCCCCTGCAGCCTGCGCCTGGCTCCAGTGTGCCCCCGGAGCACCGCCAGCTCAGACGCCCTGAGGTTCTCCCCTGCCTCAGGCCAGCAGAATCCACCAGCACCCCCCCTAAACAGTGTCTTAGAGCCCTGGCTCCCGCGCACCAAGGCCTGGATTCCCACTGGACGTGGCAGTCAGCTGGTGGCCTCTCCAACATCCCCTAAAGCACCGTAAGCCCTATGACAGATTTCTCACCAAGTTGCTTTAATTTTTTTTTTTTTTTTTTTTGCAAAGTCAAGTCAGACTATTGACAGTGCCTGACCGCCCCCAGCCTTGCCCCCAGCGCCCAGATCCCTGCTAACAAGTCTCCCACCGCCATTCAACTCCCGTGAGCCAGCTCTGCCATTCAACAGCCAGCCCACTTTTGTTCCCCCAGTTTAATTTCATAATTGTTTGCCACTTAACAAGCTCTTCTCTAGGCCATTCAGTGGAGCAGGGGAAATGGGGAGCGGGAAGGCAAAGAAACTCTGGGAGGGGAGCTGGGAGCCAGGCCAGCCCGGCCCTGGGGAAGAGACTTCCCAGAGAGGTCAGCGAGCCAGGGTGGGGGCCGGTCCCAGAAGGGAGCCTCCTGACACCAACCGGGCCACCCAGCTTGAGCCAGGAGCCGTGGGAGGGACAGGAGAAGGGTGAGTCCCGGAGGCCACGCCGGGGCCTGCCAGACTCCGGGGCACATCAGCGCTCTGAACGACACGCCTCTGGCCCTGCCCGGGTGAAGGGAGGCTGGGCACGAATTCAGGCTCCTGTGATACGTCCCAGAACAAACACCCAGAGGCAGAGCTGCTGCTTCGCTTGGCCGTTCCGTGACCAGCGGGGCCTCTGAGGGCTGGGACCTGTCTGGGCAGCCGCCGAATGCCCGGCCGGGCACACAGCACCCACGAATAAATCCGTGTTGAGCGAGTGGATGGAGAGAGGGAGGAAGGGAGGGAAGGAGATGGATGAAGTTTCCCGCAGGACCCAGCAGAAGTGGCCGCCCGGCCAGCGCCCGTCCCCGTCCCCGTCTCCTCCCCGAGCGCCGGCAGGGGCCTGGCTGCGCACAGTAGGCTCTCCACGGGCAGGGGCCGCTATTGTTGCCACCGTCCTCACCACGGGCGCCGCACCAGCCCGCCTCTCCTGCCGGCCACTCCGCCAGCAGCCAGCCGCGACCGGCGAGCCAGGGAAAAGTTTCGCTGACCCCGCGGCCCGGCCGAGCCCCCTCCCTCCGGCGCGGCTCTGCAGCCGGGGGCGGCGGGGATGCCCGGCCCGGCGCCCGCACCCGGCAAAGGCGGCCAAAGTAACTTTGCGGGCGCCCCCGCGCAGCGCCGCGGGCGTCGCCCGGAGCCCGGAGAAGGGTCCCGGCCGCGCCCCCGCCCGGCCTGCCGCCCGCGCCCGCCGCCACCCGCCCGCCCGCGGTCCTACCTGGCCCCGGGCTCCTCTTCGGCGGCCGCGGCGGCCGCGAGCAGCAGCGCGCACCGAGGGAGGCAGGGGCTCCCGGGAGGGAGGCGCGCAGGGGCGGGGGCTCCTCCGGCGGCGGCCGCCTCGCCGCGCGTCCGAGGCTGCAAGTGGGAGCCAGACTCCTCCTTCGGGGGGCGGGGGGCTCCCCGCGCCCCCTCCGCCGCCCGCCCGCGCGCCTCCCCGGCTCCCCCCGCCCGCCGCCGCCCGCCCTCCCCGCCTCCCTCCTCCCCGCCGCCGGGAGGGGCGCGCTCGCGGCCTCGGTCCCGGCCCCCGAGCCGCCGCCCGCAGGGGCCCCCGCCGGGCCCGCCAGGCCTCGGCCCTCCGCCCCCGCCCGGGCCCGGCGCCCGCATCCCGCTGCGGAGGGACAGGGAGCGCGGCCGCCGGCCTGGGCGCGGGGGGGAGGAGCGGGCCCGCGCTGCGGAAAACGGAGGGGGCCGCGCCCCGCACCCCGCGCCCGCCCCCCAGCCCCGGGCCGGGCCGCGCGCGGGCTGGGCGGGGGCGCTCTCACCTCCGGATCCGCGGCCGCCGCGGCGGGCACCGCGTGCAGGGGCGTGCGCGGCTCCTTCCGGGGCGCCGCAGCCCTCGCCCGAGACCCGAACACCCTCCCGGGGCGGTCAGGGCACCCTGCTCCGGGGCCCTCCCGCCGGGATCTGGAAGGTCCCCCTCCCGGGCCGGAGACTCCCGGACCCCAGGTCCCAGTGTGAACGGGTCGGGGTCCCCCTCCCGGGCCGGAGACTCCCGGACCCCAGGTCCCAGTGTGAACGGGTCGGGGTCCCCCTCCCGGGCCGGAGACTCCCGGACCCCAGGTCCCAGTGTGAACGGGTCGGGGTCCCCCTCCCGGGCCGGAGACTCCCGGACCCCAGGTCCCAGTGTGAACGGGTCGGGGTCCCCCTCCCGGGCCACCGTCTCTGCCCCTCGGGAGTCCCAGGCCCCCAAGCCCGGGCACAGCAGGTGGCCTGAGGCGGCCTGAGCCCCAGCGGGGCGGGCAAGCAAGTCAGGACCTCGGGGTACAGAGGCCCTACCTTGCTGGGACGAGGAGGGAGCACAGCCCTCAGCGGCGGGGGCCGCCCTGGGGAGGCTGAGAGGCCCTGGGGCTTCCAGCCCCTGCCGCGGGTGGCACGGGTGTCCCAGGGCCTTGCATGGTCAGGGTGAAGATGACTGGCCGGGCCTCCCAGGCTGGGAGGAAGACGGAAAGGCGCTGTGGCTCCTCAGAGGCCCGAGCCCCTCTACAAATGCTGGCGGGTCCCCCTTCGCCAACACACACATCACACCATCCCCAAGGACACCCCGTGTGGGCCCCTCGGGCCTGCTCGGCCCCTGAGGACAGCCACCTGGGGTGGCTTCCTGGAGGTGGGAACAGGCCAGCTGAATGAGCGAATGCAGGAGAGAAGGCCTGGAAAAGACGTCCAGGCGAAGGAACGGAGCATGCAGAGGCCCTGGCATGTGAGTTCAGTGGGTTCCAGTGGAAGGAAAAGCAAGAGGAGGGAAGATGGGGTGGCAAGGCTGGGGGTGAGGGGACAGAAGCCAGATCAGGAAGAGCTTTGGGTAGACTTTATCAGGGGCAGTGGGGAGCCATAGAGGGTTTTTGAGTAGGACTGTGACTGGGTCGGGTTTATCTTTTTAGAGCTCGCTCTGGAACTTCTGAAGACAGAGGTCGAGGCCGGTTGGCATGGCTCACGCCTGTAATGCCAGCACTTTGGGACGCTGAGGCAGGTGGATCAGGAGGTCAGGATATCAAGACCATCCTGGCCAACAGAGTGAAACCCCGTCTCTACTAAAAATGCAAAAATTACCTGGGCGTGGTGGCACGTGCTTGTAGTCCCAGTTACTCGGGAGGCTGAGGCAGGAAAATCGTTTGAACCCGGGAAGTAGAGGTTTCAGTGAGCAGAGATCATGACACAGCACTCCAGCCTGGCTACAAAATGAGACTCTGTCTAAACATAAAAAAAAAAACGAAAATAAATAAATTTTAAAAAGCCAGAGGTACAGGGGGAGCGGCTGGACTATGGAAGAAGATGATGATGGAGGCCTGAGGTCCTGAGGCCGGAGACGGGGGGCAGGGGCTGGCCGACGGGTCTGTGGCAGTCACCCACTCCTGCTTCCTTGTCTTTAGACCCCAGTCATCTGTCAGGGAATCCCAAACTCGACCCGGGAGCCTCCTTCTCCTCCTAGGCTGCAGGCTTCCTGACCACAGTGACTTCGGGGGAGGCGAAGGAGAAAATGTCTTGCATGCCTGAGAGGGGGGCTTGGACTCAGTGTCTCAGCAGACTCCGCCTGCCGCCTGCCCAGGACAAAGCCACAGCTTGGCTGTGGCCTCAGGAGATCGCAAAGGACAGTAACAAATGTGCCTTCTGGGTCCCTGGGTCAAGAGCAGAGGTTCCTGTGACAATTTGCCTCCAAGGCCAGCTTCCTCATCACCTCCAATCCTACCAGAACTACCTTCAACTCCCAGAACACCATCCCTTGCCTTCCCAGGGTATGCATTTATTGAGCGCCTACTGTATGCCTGGCACTCGGCACTTCCTCTGAAGCCAAGCGTGAGCTCCCCACCGGAGGGGTCTGGCGCTACCTGCACCACCCAGTCCCAGGCACGGAGCTCTCAGCTTGACCCACATTGTCTCATGTAGCCCTCATGCCTCCCCTGGTCCAGGCTGCACCCCAGAGGCCAGCCTCCCCAGAGCCCAGTGCGGCAACCCACAGGGCCTGGCACTCTGTCGGTGCCCAGTGAATGGACCCTAAAAGATGAGGGAATGAGGAGTGTGGGATGGGCAGGATAGACCCACTCCTAAAAGAGCAACCATTCTGGCAAACACAGCACACATTCTGCTTTTGGAAAAATTTAATAACACAGTGGCACTTGTTCATGGAGACTAATAGAAATACCACACGATCCCACACTGCTGAACCAGCCGGGAGATGGCTCGTTCTGCTGGAAAGCATTTCCTGGGCACCTACTACGTGCTGGAGGCCCAGCCAGGAGATGGCTCGTTCTGCTGGAAAGCATTTCCCAGGCGCCTACTACGTGCTGGAGGCCAAGGCAGAGAAGGAGGAGCAGGAAGGCCCTCTGTCCTGGAAGAAGCAGAGGTCAGCAGATACTCATGACACCAGGGAGAAGAGGGCAGCCCGGGTCAAAGAGAGCAGCACGTGCAGCTGGGACGCTTCGGAGTTGGCAGTGTGTGTGCTGCGGAAGAACTTGGCGGTGCGTGGGAGAGGGGCAGCCCGGCAGAGTGACCAACGTGTGCAAAGACTCGGAGGCTCCAGAGAGCACGTGTGATATCCCCTGGCCAAGAAACACCTTCCAGAGAGGCGTCCTGAGGCAGTAACAGCCCAGAAGTGAAAGCAACCTAAATGCCTAGCCAGAGGGGATCTGTTTTTTGAATGATGGGATGTCCGGGGAATTTCAAGTAGCCAGATAATGTCGCTGCAATGCCACGTGGTGGGAAAATGGGCTCCATGCTCCGCACCCATCCTGTGAACGAGTGAAGTGGGTTACAACAGAGTGCGCCCGATTCTGTATTTTGAAAAATGAAAAATAGAGGGGAAGAGGGGAAAGCAGGCAGTGAGTAAATACAGCGAAATGTCAACCCTGGTAAGATTCTGAGTGGGGTGGGGGTGGGGTCAACTATCTGTGGAAATTTTTTGTCTCCTATGCCCCTGGGATCATCAGGATGTCATGAAGGATGTGAGTGTGGGGTGTGTGGGGTGCCTGCAGGGCAGGGCCTGGGGTGACCTGGAGGCCTGGGCAGCTTCGTTGACAGAGTGACCTAAGCCTTCATGCCTTCCTCGGGTCCTGCATGGTGACTGACTCACAGCCGGCGGGCCAGAAAGGTCATTAATCAGCAAATATCAACGTGCGCTGTGTTAGACCCCAGGAATCCCTCTGGCAGAGAAGGGCAGTGGAGTTCAGAGGGTTTGAAAGGCATCGCGGGCCGGGCTTTGGGAGAGGCTCCCAAGAGGAGGTGACAGTCTCGAACAACGGGGCCCTAGTTTCATGTCCCCACCTCGGCCCCCTTAGACACCGATAAGGTCTCCACCTGCCAGCCAGGTCTGTGTGGATCCTGACACAGCCCAAAGCAGGGGCAATTTCAGTCCGGCTCTCTGGCACGGTCCTCATCCCGGGCCTTCCTCTAGGCCTAGGGCCCAAAGTGGAAAAGCCGCACCTTGTCAGGGGTCTTGGGTCCTGCTCACCTCCGGCAGGCTCAGGTACAGCCTGCAATGACTACACCCACTCTTAAACCATGCCCTGACCCAATCCTGCTTTTGTCACCTAACAGCTTGTGACTCTGAACCTCAGTCTCTTCTTCAGTAAAGCTGATGCAATAATCCCTACCTCAGGGCCACGCACATGCAGAGTGCAGGGTGCACAGTCAACACTCAGCGGGCGGTGGCAGCTCACACCGTCACAGTTGTAGATACCAGGTCTGGGGTTCTGTCTTCTAACCCGGTTCCGTTACTAGCTTCCTTAGGACCTTGGGACATGCTCATGTTTCTCTGAGCCTCAGTTTCCTCAGCTTGAGGAGAAAGGGGATGGGGTGGCTCACTCCTGAGGTTGCTCATAGATAAAATGACAAGCTATGGAAAGACCCCAGGAGCTCTCTCATCCTGCCCCCAGCTAGAGTCCCAGTCTGACCACTGTCCACATGAGACACCTACCCCACTCTACAGCACTCCCTGCCATGTGACTCCAGGCCACCAACCAGAAAGCCAGGCAGCAGCCGGTTGGAGGTCAAGCCCAGGCAGGGCCCTGCCCCCATGCCGTCTGTAGGAGCCAGGAGGACATGCTCCCGAGGTGGGGGCTGCTCCTGGTGCCATCCCCGGCCCTCCGGTCACCACTCCCAAGCCTCCCCTCTAGGTGGCTGAGCTGACGGCACCTATGGCTCTTGGCGCCTCACATGCTGCCTGTGAGCCCTTTGCTATTTAAAAGAACTTCTCCAGCTGCTTTTGAGCTGGTTTATTTCTCACAACAGCCCGGTGGGCACCTCAGTCAGGGGCAACCCTCCCTGTGAAGAAACCCCATTTTAGAGATGAAAAAACTGAGGCTCCAAGAGGTTTCAAGACCGGCCCCGCTGGTATAAAGTTGAGATGACAAGGCCCATCTTCAGACTCCAAGACACCTGCTTTTCCCTCCACCCAGCTCCCCTGCCCCCCGCCTGGTGCCAGACCAACTCCTTCAACCCTT